ATATATATATATATATATATATATATATATATATATATAGGGAATAAACACGTTAACAACTTGGCCAACTGACCGACCTGCTCTAATACCACTTAATGTAACACCCCCTTTTACACCCTCAAATAATCAAATAAATCATCTAAGCACATATTAAAATTTCATCAGAGTATAATTAAAACATGGTATAAAAGGAGCATGTCACATCATTACACAAATTTGATACATACAACACCTGCTCTATAAAAGACATGCAACAGTGAAGTAGCTTTCAACAGAGGAACTTAGTCCTTACACCCACATGTCAATATTTAGAATTAAAAGCGGAAAATCTAAGCATTGAATCATTTTAAACATGAAATCATATAAATACATATCATCCAATTTGATTCACCACATCATTAATGTTTACATAGATATTTGTCAGCAGATACATATACAAATGTATCACAAAAGAATGATATACAATCCTAACTACCTGGTGCTACATATCAGAGCTAACTGACCAAAAGAATGAAGCTATACTTCACAAAAGACCTCCAGCAAACCTAATCTGCAATGCCTCATAAAGTATTATAAAACAGCAGAAGGGTGAGAAATATTATCATAATAATCAATGCATATAATTATATATATATATATATATATATATATATATATATATATATATATATATATATATATATATATATATATATATATATATATATATATATATATATATATATATATACACACACACACACACAAGCATAGAATACACATATTGCACCTTTCTCACCACAGTTCATTATCATCATCATATACATCACAATATATGTATAAACAACCATGGATAATCACCAAACATGTTTCATCATGCACACATCCATAATCCTCAATTCAACAATTCATACATAAGCATACTTTCATATAACAATGATATCTATGTCATGTGACTTGATGCAACTCAATGCAACTCATGCCATGTGGTATCAACACTTATTATCATTTTTCGGTTTTTACATTTAAACTGGGTCCGTCCTCTAGACCGATAACAACAAAAGTCCGTCCTCTAAGCTTTCAAACCCACTCTTCTAGGCTTGGGACAAGCCACTAGTCTCCACGAAACTAGCAAGCATTGCCTCTTGACCAAATGATGCGTATGCAATCAACAACCAAATGCACTTAAGACCGTTCTCGCATCTTAATCTCATGCATTCTCAAATAATTCATCACATAAGAATTATAACATGATTGCACACACAACACATTTCATAATAATCAAATATTCATACTTTCAACACCATCACCATATTTATCAAGCAATGCACACATATTCACAATATGTTCTCATGCATTCTTCACATACAATCGCATACAATTATTATGCATTCACAATATCGTGCCAACGACAACGAACTCAATCACATTCATCATGCACTTTTAATTAATTTAAACAATGCATATATTTGTCAAAAGACCACATTTCCACAATTGATTCCACAATTTAGGATTCACGCCATACGGCTACCCACAACATATCACATAATAGCACATAAACTATTCATTTCCGATAAGGATTGAACACAATCGAACCAAACAATCAACATTGGATGGAAACATAAGGAAATGAAAATGCTGTCACACTCGCTAGCTTACTCGCCTAGCGAGTTCCTAGCAAACACTCGTTACCTGTTCGCCTAGCGAACAAGCTCGCGAAGGCAAACAGAAGCTACTGTAAGGCTTCGCTACCTACTCGATGGGGCTTCGCCTAGCGAACCCTTCGCTACCTTGCTCGCTACCAGCGAAGAGGGTCAATTACATTCTGTCTAAGTCTGGGACAATTCGCTACTAGCTCGCTACAGCGAACACTCGCGACCTGCTCGCCTAGCGAAGGTGCTAGCGAACGTCTGCGATGTTCAAAATCTCAACTGTCCAAAATTATCAAATCATCACAAAATCAACCGATTCAATTCCAACAAATTCCAGTAGTCTTAGCCTAACATTTCTCGACTAATCTACACCATTTATTTCATATTTTAACCGTTCAAACATCGACTTTATCGATTAAATCCATTTCTGCCCTAGAATGGAAAAAGATGGGAAACCTCTAACAATTCCAAACACACACACACATAATCATATGCATTGGTAAGATAACAACATTTCACACCCTTACCTTGATTAAATCGAAGCTAGAAGTTATTCTTGAGCTTTCCAAGCTTTTTCCCCTTTTCCTTTTCTTTTCTCCTCCTCCTCTTTCTTTCTCTTCTCTTTCTCTTATGTTTCTTATTCTTTCCTTTTCTTTCCACTTTTCCTTATATGTATTTCTATTCTATTTCCTTCCATTATATTTCTTCTCTCAAATATCTACCAATAATTCCAATAATTAAAATCATCTAAATAAATCAATTAATTAACATGAAAAATTAATTATTGAAAATTGGGCTGTTACAACAGGCAGCGTCCCACGCAAACTGTGTACATACGCAAGACGGAGTTTTCCATACATATCGATGGCAGGACTGATGAAGATTTACTTGGCTTCGGGCTTTTAAGAAGTGTTGGATTAAGGGAGTTTTATAAAAAAAACATGATTGTAATTTGAAGGACTTGTTGTAATTATTGTTGAATACTCCACATATCATGAATAAAGCATTTTCTCAATCCCTATTTTGCTGCAGTTGAGATATTTTGGTGTTCATAGAGTAACCCAAGGGTGTAGAAGTTGTATGAGAGCAAAAGTCACAACATCATATGGTTGAATTGTATAAATTTTTTGCGTAGTATTCGTTTCAAGGATCAAATTTAGCGAAGCTTAAAGAACTTCTGTATCAATAATCCAGCTTGTGTTGCGCTTCGCAGTTCGTTCTCGTAGCCCTCTCATCAATTTCAGTCTCTTATCTTCTGACGAGCTCGTATCGTGAAACCATGGAATTGGGTGTTACCATGCCCATTAGGAAATTTCTCATTAGCTTAAATAAATTGAATTTGGCGTTAAAACTTGTACTCTTGAATATCCCGTGAGAATATGTGATGACTTAGTAGCACAAATTTAATCATGGATTTGAAAGAATGATGAACTCTTTATGGTAGAATAAGACCCAACCCTTTACACGTCGATTCAGGTTGTCTTTAGTCTTCGGAACCGGATAAAAGCCGACGAGTTTAAATTAATTTGCGAGCCTTGCTGTAAACTCTGATAACACTTGGCTCGAGATTTGATAGACCGATATGAGTGCTTCCTTGAAACTCCTGCTGTCTAGTTAATATACTTGTACGAGCTGGCCAGCCATAGTAAACACGCGCACAACAAAACGAGTAAGAAATAAGCGCTAGGAGGCGGGATCTTAAGGTAAAAAATTAGGGTGCTACACCCACAACTTTAGCAAATTCAGTGCGAAGACAGAGCCCGCGCTCAAGCAGAAATTTCTTCATGTCATCAGTCATGGAGACTTGGACAACTTCCTTGTTAAACCTCTCGATGTAACCTCACAGTGGTTCATCCTTCCCTAAGAAAACTTCGTTCTTCAGGTTACGGCGATTGTATAATAAACTTAAAACAAACTAACTTCAAGTTTATATAATAAACTTTTTTCTTCATCAGAAATTTAAGTAATGTTAATAGAATGACTATTTGATTAACTCTTGTGACACCAAATCATAAAAGAAAAAAAATTAAACTATCTGTTTTGACATATTTCATCAATATTATAACATTTAATAACAGTTCACATTTCACTAAATTTTTTCACTAATTAAAATAAAATTAATTGTCTATGCAACCAGAAACCACTAACTAAAATTTTAAAAGCATTTATTTAAGTGAATTAATTTGGTTCATATGAATATTTCAAGAACCAAGGACCAAGCCGGCCCAGTGCCGACCTTTCCAAATCTAAAATCTCCAAGATGCTGCCACGTGGAAGTATATATAAGATTAAACATTACGCTCCATCCCACAATACAGAAGACTCATTCTCAACGGATCCTTCAAATTTCAGATCTTTCCAAATTACATCACACTATACTTCATTAAACTAATACTATATACTATTTTAATTAATCAATCAAATTAATAAATTCCCTAACCATAACCATAGTCACGTTGATGCCACATGACTTTATACTTTATACTATACTACACATTAATTTATCGTGGGTGCGAAAATCGATGTGATATTTCACGGAAGCACCGCCCGCATGAATTAACCATACAATATTAAAAATATCTTTTCTTTTTCAAATTAATTAAATATTCATTAATTAAACACATAAATATAAATCAATAAGTGTAGTTCAAACCCAACCTCGCAGTTCCACCTGCACCCCCTTCTTTTCTTCTACCTCCTCCACAACCACAACCTCTTCACTTTCTTCTTCATTCAATTTTTCTACTTCCACACCTCTCTCTGTACAGTAATTTACAGGTACTTCCACTTCCACTAGATTCATCAACAATTTCTCATAACCGTTTCTCGTTTCTCGTTTTTTTCTTCAATTTCTATATCTAAACAATTTTTCGTGTATTTAACTGTGAATTTGAAACCTAAAATTTTAATACTAGTTTATTTCAGATCCGCTTCTTTTGAAGCTCGATTTAGGTATATTGATCCGTTTTGTGTTGATATTTTATGGTTTTTTGTTGAAATTTGTTGATATTTTATGGTTTTTTGTTTGATCTGTGATTTTAATTTTTGTTAATAACATAAAACGATTTTAATTAAGAGGATTATAAATTCGGTTAAGAAATTATGAAACGTGAGTTTAATTTAATTTTGTTAGCGTTGAATTTGACTAGATCTGTTACGATGTTCGTGTACGTTTTTGATTTTTGAGAATTTGGTATATATTTAATTAGATTTAAACGCGTTATTTGTTTTTTTTTTGTTATGGATTTTTTGTTTATGAAGTTAATTGATCGATCTGATTGAGTTTTGGTTTCTGAATTTTTTATATATGTTTATGTGGATGAACAGGTTTTAATTGATATATAGAAATTTAGAGAAATTTGAAGGAAGATGAACGGCAGGGATTCGGTTGTTTGCCCTAAGCCCCGTCGTGTCGGATTCAATTTCGCCGTCAACGATCATCCGGCAAAGGCGTTCCGATGGCATCTCAGGTTTTAATTTTAATTTTAGTTTTCTCGTTTTGATTTATATTTGGTTTATTTTTGTTAAACTTTTGTGTTCTTTGTTTTCTTCTTATGCAGTTGCCAGATTGAACCGTGTGATTCTAACTCCTCTGGCTCAAATCCTTTGGATACCATTCTCACCAAGGTAATTAAACTAAATAATCATCTATTTGTAATTTTGTTTAGGGTATAATCTATCTGTAATTTTCTTAAGGGTATAATTTGAATAATCAATTGATTTGTTTGAATTTTTCTGTGTTGTGCCTTTGTTGATTTGCAGGATGTTGATTGTGATATAGAACAGTTATGTCCTCCGGTAGCCTCGTCGCCCCCATTTTTTTGCGGGTCACCGCCGAGCAGAGTAGCTAACCCACTAATTCAGGATGCTCGATTTGGGGATGAGAATTTCCCCCCTCTCTCACCGTCGTCTTGGGTGGTGGTTCCCACCCAATCCGGTCTGCCACCGTCTCCCTCATCCTCTGCAAGGAAGGGAGGTTGTGTTCGGGCCAATTTTGGCAACAATCCGGCGGTGAGGGTTGAAGGATTTGATTGCCTTGACAGGGATAGCCGAAATTGCAGCATCCCTGCCTTGGCTTAGAACTACAACAACAACTTAATATACACATCTTTTGACTCTAGAATTTCAGTTTCAGTTTACTACAGAAATACAACAACAACCATATAAGAGCCACGGGAAAGAAATTTTGGATGTCCAGAGTATGAAGAGGAGAAAAAAGAAAGTTAAAATTTTATCTTGTTTGTAAATATGTTGAGTTTAATCGAGTGTCCGTGTATGTAAATGTCAATAGTTCGTGTCTTGTTTAGGAATAACGTATATATAGTCCACTAAATAATGAGGTTAAAGTTGCTGATTGACGGTTAATTTGGGTGTCTGTTATATGCCCTATACTGTATTAGTGTCTTAAAAACCATTCTCTTGTTTGTAAGTAGAAGAGTCATCAGAGGATGGGTATGTTTCATCTTAATTTTTCTTTTATGCGTCTTTGAATTGTAACTATGAGTTTAAAAATGAAAACTTGTACAAAGAAATAGTTTATTTTGAGAGTGTAATCAATTGAGTACTAATAGCCTTTTACAATTTCAATTCCAGAATTTGGGTTCTTCGGAACACTTATTAACTTTGTGTTTTTTTACCTATATTCTTCGTTTGGCACAATTCTTTCTTTGGCAAAAACAAAGATTGGTGCTACTTTTCTATTTTGATATTCTTGGTTTACTTGTTTGTTGTATGACGGTGATAAGGTTCTTTCTTGATTAAGCTTCTTTATCATGTTGGGATTGTGGGCCTTGGTGGGATTAGCTTATGCTTTACGCAAAATTTACTCTTTGGAGTCATGGGGCTTGGGAATGGTAGAGCGCGTACTTTAGTTGGTTTTCAAATCCTTCGTGCCGAGACAATAAATCAACTTGTCGGTCTACGGTAACTGTCAGACTCAGTTATTGTTCTGTCCTCGTGCTCAGCCATTTTTTGTTGGATGTTGTGAGGTTCAATGTATATATTGGATTTCGTGAATTTTTTTATAAAATGATTATTAAAATTTTTTAACACTAGTTTTTTAAATGCAGATATAGAAATGACAATTGAACTGATGAATGACAAGTAGATAAGTAGATAGAGGCGTAAATTGAATTGACGAATGTATACGAGATGAATTGGCGACTACATTTACTTTTTGTATTTAATGTCAATTTAATTGACGCTTTCATCTATTTGTAATGCAGTGTTGTCAATTTATTTAACATCTTTATGCACAGTTGTCAATTCAATTGATATTTGCTCTATTTTTTAAATGCAAGCGTCCATTAGATTGACATGACGAATGTGTACAAGATGAATTGACGACAACATTTACTTCTTGTACTTAGTGTCAGTTGCTCTATTTTTTAAATGCAAATGTTCATTAGATTGACATGACGAATGTATACGAGATGAATTGACGACTACATTTACTTCTTGTACTTAGTGTCAATTTAATTGACGTTTTGATCTACTTGTAATGCAGTGTTGTCAGTATTTTTAACACTTCCATACATAGTCGTTAATTCAATTGACATTTGCTCTATTTTTTTAAATGCAACTGTAAATTAGATTGGCATGTGATATGCATTGTCAATTTTTTTATTTAAAACATAAATACTGAAAATTATGAGAAAATTTACTTATTTAAATTTTTTTTAAAAGAAATTTTGGTTTCTTTGAAAAAATTATGAATCTTGCTTGTGTCTTTGATATAAGAGAGTACTTTTGTTGAATCGTCTAATAAAAATTCAAGTTCTCCTTGTAGATTAGAATTGCAGAGGTTTTTTCATGATCATTTTAGAATAAGTCAAAGGCTTTCATAAATTTGTTTAGACGAAGAAAGAAATTAAATAGAAATAATATTAACTTGTTTGATATCGATATTTACTTGTTTGATATGAATGAAAGTTGTTATGAGCCGACCGGCCAAAGCGAGTTGTTCTTTCTACCTTTGAGTATTATCGCACACAACTACAAAATTACTTAAAATGCAACTTTGGATGCATATTCTTCACACACATGAGAAAAAAATGATGAAAATTATTTATTCTATTAAATTTGATTTGGAGAGCACAAAAAGTTAATTCGGAGATATATCTTTATATTTCCGTTTAGTTCATTTGCTTGTAAGCATTTCGAAGATACATCTCTAGATTTCGCCCTATTAGTTCAAAACAGAAATACCCAAAAATAATGGCAGAATGGAAAACATAAATTAACTCCAAAATAAATATTACATAGACAAACATTACATAAATTTAACATTACATGTTATTAAAAACATGTTGTTCGGGACGTTGCAACATTCTAATAATATCTAAGGGGGGTCTTTGAATCGTCGCATCAACTTCAACATATCTCTTTGTTGAGTAACGATAAAAGGTAATTCAAATCATCATCAGTGTTCAGTTCAAGCATGTTGAATCGTATACTTCCTTCGTTGTCAATCGAGGGGTGAACGGTATTTGAGCTTGACAACTCTCTGATTTTTTAGATATCACGAGAGAGTATAGATCGACGAGAAGTATGTCCTCGCAAATTCGAAATTGAAGTGAGATTTGCGCCATTAACATACACAAATACAAGATGAAGATATATAGTCATTCTGGTTTGTGTAAAGAAAATTGAATCAGAGATCCTATTTATAGAAGTTGTAGAGCAATAATGATCTTACAAACATGACCATTGTCGCTACCGCGAAAATAAGGTGCCGGCAAAACAGAAGAGTCGCCACCTTTCGTTATTTATCCCTAAGAACGGGAAAGGAAACGGTCGGAAAAATCTGACGAAAAGGCATAAGACAAGCTCATCGCAACCATTGTCTGGGTTCGGGAGTCAGTTACGCAAGGGGAAGATATTAACACCCCTCACGTCCATCGTACTCGATGGGATCCACGCTTGTTGTGTTTACCTGACGGGTTGATTATATCTATCTACGCTAAAAGGTTGGTCTGAAAAGAAAAGAAAATGACTAGGCAGAATACAACAGTTCTATGCCTACGTATTCCCGTCTGAAACGAGAAATCAGAGTCAACGTAGTTCGCCTAACTACGGGTTATGGGGGAAGGTTGCTCCCCGAGATATCGCATTTCGTGCCTACGTACTTTCACACGGCGTGAAAGATCAGAGCAAACGTAGTTCGGGATAATATGGAACACAGGTTTGCTCAACTGTTTTTATCCGAGTAGGGTTAATAGACAATTTCAGCAGTTTGGTGTATGCAGCTCGACCTTTGGAGACTTAGGCGTTTACCGTTTGCGGTAGAACTGGGAGTTAACGCCACTTTTTACTTCAAAAAAGCTTTCATTGAGTTATGGGCCCACGAGGCAAAAGATTTGAAGTTTGTTTTCAGTCTTTTACGGAAGAACTGTTTTTTATGGTTGTCTGTAGTTTGTACATCACTAGAGACTATGACTTAGGAGCGAATGTGTCGCATATCGTCCAAAGGACATATACTAAACACCCTAGATGATTGAGAGGAGACCGCTCAATTATCATTTTCCAAGTAGCTTAAGGCTCGTAATGCACTTGTACTAACTTGCCTTTATTACGTTTCTTACTGTTGTTTTGAGATAAGAAGAGAACGAACTCTAAGGGGAAATTGAAATCCTACTGTTGTCATGCAAAATTGATTCTATGATTGAGGTTAGGATGGAGCTACCTACTGTTATCATGCATGGTTAGAACCCTAATGTCTGTCATAACTTCTCTTGAACAAGAGAAGTCAGAGTTCCTAAGGGAACATGGCAATGGTACACAGAAACAGACAAACAAATACTATAAAGAAAATACTGTAAGTAAAATGCATGCAATGCAACAATACAAGCAGAAGGAGACAAACTCAACTTCTTAGCAACCAAGCAAAAAGAAAACAGTCAAAATAGACAAGCAGAGGGAGACAGACTCAACCTTTATATGCAAATACGTCAATTAGAAAAAGAAAAACAACACACAAGCAAGGGGAGCACCACCTCAATCCTTAAGGCAAACAAGTAAAGGGAGACCCATTCAACCTCTTAATGCAGTCATGCACCTACACTTAGGCTATCCTAAACATGCACTATTCTAATGCAACACACCACTCAATCATGAATGAGGAAAAAGATTTATGACAGATAATGGATTCATTCCACAAGTAATCATACAAGGCTTCTATCCTAGGGAAAGGAATTGAAAGTTGGGAGACCAGGGTAAGGTCCACAAGAACTTATCCCAGGCACTCAACCAACTAAAAGGGACTTGGGAGAATCCTAGAGGCTTTGCTCCTTCAAGAGATGTGCAAAATTCCAGCCATAGGAGGGACTGTGCTACCTCAAGAAGGTTCCTAAAAAGAATTGAAGAGGATTAGGAGAATGGAGATGGGAAGCAAGGTAAGGTCCACAGGAACTTACCACAAGCACTTAACCAACTTCACTTCCTCAGAAAGCTTTCATAGACTCAACTCCTTTATGATATTGCAATGAATTCCTCCACAGGAGGAAACATGCTCACAAGGAGGATTCCAATCAAGCAAGGAAAATTGAAAGGGAAACTAACCCTATAGGAAGGATCATCCATCTAACTTGAACTGCTTAAAGAACCTCAAAGATTATCTCCTAAGGATCACCTACCAAAGGTTCAAAGCTCTAAAGAGGCATCTATCTAATCACCATTCTATCAAGAAAGGGTAGGAGACCTAGAATCATCTAATGGTCATTATTGAAGTCATTCTAAAGGAAAGGTCATGTTAGAAGCACCCTAAAAGCTACCTAAGTATTAAATCTACTTAAATTACTAAATCATCTTCTAAAATCCTATGAATTTTTCTAAGGGTCCCGGAAGGTGTTGAGAACCTAGGGTAAAAGGACCAGAGCCTAAATCAACCTCTAAAGTCACTTAAGAAATTCTATACCAAGAGGTACCAAATAAAGGTTCAAGATGGGAAACCTCTAAAAACCTACTCCAAAACAGAACTTAGAGTCATCTAAAAAATGTAAGAAAAATCCTACAATATACTAAAATGTGTCAACATTCATCATGTAAAAAATCAGAAATTAAATCCAAGCATTAATATGGCA